TTGGTCTAGGGAGGAAAATAACAAAGTTCTACTCGCCTGATCCTCTGAGCCAGCTTGCTCCCTGGAGCCTTCCTCCCCCTCCATTGCAGCGGTCTAAGGTTTTACCTTTTTATGATTAGTTTATTAGGCATGTTCTTTGAGATATCATGTCACTTAAAATTTTTTTGTTATTGATGTTAAAACCACCAGTACTGGCCATTTTTTTGCCCATTGGAAGATTTTCCCTCGAAGCAAATAAAAACATGACAAGGGTTCCAACCCTTCACCACAAAACTAGAAAAAATGTTTTAGCTTCAAATGCACTTTATTAAATTTAGTTTTTTTTAATGACCGGACATAGTTAGGCCTAATGGCTGAAGTTCTGATCAATTCAATTTTAAGTTGTAGATGGAAGACAGATTTAACAAACATATTTCAATAGGTTAGTTGACATATTTGGAAATCTGATTGCTACATTGTTGTGTAAGGCATTCATGACATTTTAACATTTTGTTGGAATCATTTACTAACTTATCCAACTATAATTTTCCTGTTGGTGACGAATTGCTTTGTTCTTGTTTGCGCAATGCATTGGCCGTTTCCTATTGCATTTGACTTGTGTACAGGAATTTGTCAAGAATGACTGACTGACTGACTGCATTTGGAATTAGTTAGACCAGTGTTTCTCAACCTGCTGTCACCCTTTTAAAAGTATGCAAAATCTTGAGGCCCCTCTTTACATCAGACTCCCCGGCCCCCCATTTGAGTCTACTTGAATTTAGAAGCCCCCTCTTCACATCAGATCCCCCCCCCCCCCTCTTTTATGTCAGATCCCTCCTTCACATAGAGTGCCCTGTGATTTTTATTGTCGTGCAATTATGGCCTGCCTTCTGGACTGTGTTGTTATGTTGCCTGCAGCCTTCCCTGACCTGTCTTAATCTGCCTGAGCACTGCCTGCCCTGACCACAGCTGTTTAGATACTATAGACTTTTCTTTGGTCACCTTCCTGCACTCCAGTTGTCACCAGTGAGGCAAACCGAAGGCCTTGGGAGAATCTTGCAGCAAAACATATACTGTATCTCCTTGCAGGTTAATATTGGTGAAGCCTTAAAGGAGAACTATGGGGTCAGTGTTTTTCCCCATAGTGCTCCCCAGGGTCACGGGAGGACACACACTAGCGTCCTCCCGTGACCCAAAGCTCAGCATACCGCGAGCTGTAGCTCGCGGTATACTGAGATCGCCGCAGCCGAGACGGATCCCAACATTACTGTTGAGATCCACCCAGCTGCATGATTGACAGCTGGCTCTGCCTATCTAGAGGCAGAGCCAGCTGTACCCGCCCCCTCCCCCGTCCGTTCCGCCAGTCAGTGCTGGAGGATAGGACAGCGGAGGGGGAGAATCCCTGCAGGGAGCCTTGAGTGACAGTCACGGCTCTCTGCAGGGACATGATCGAGAAGTGAGCGAGCGACGGCATGTGTTCTATTGAGCCGACGTGTCAGTTTCATTGTCACACATCGTCTCGAACTATGAGGCTGAGTGATTTTCACTCACCTCATACTTCTCCTTTTAAGTACTGCATTGCCAGGGGTCAGGAGAAGTGTGAATGTTTGTCCCATTCTTAAAAGTTCTCATTTATTGCTGAGGCTCTAGTGGTAGAGCAGGGCACCTCTCTCAAGATAAGAGCAAATATCTGCTTTATATCATTTTATTTTTGGAAATATGGTAAAGGGTACAATCACAGAATTGAAGGCATGTTTATGGTACATTCAACTTTAGCAAATCAGCACTCTAGAGTATAGAAGGTGTTTGTGACAACCAGAAATGTTCCTTTTCTGGACTGAATGATGCTTCGCATCATCCAAGCTACCTATTGTGATCCCAGGGTGTCAATGACCCACACCCTGGGGTATGTCATCAAGCTGCCATGGGCTCTTAGGATAATGCTGCAGAGAACAGTGCCATGTAATTTCATGGTGCTGTTCTCTGCAGCATTTAGTACACGCCCCCTGTAAGAGGATCCTTGATGCCAGGTGACTGCACCAAAGATCCATGGACAAAATGTAAGTATTTAGAGAATTAAAAAGAAAAAATAAGGGCAGGAGGAGCTGGAGTAGGAAACCTAGAATTTGGCTTTAATTGAGGCAGCCATGCACGAGAATTCTCAGAAGTGGCAATATTCATATTTCTTTTAGTACATGCTCCCTTTAAACCTATGTCATACATATCTATTTTATGATATACGGCCATATTGTTGATAACTAAGTCAAACTTTGATGTTTAAAAATTACATTTATAATATAAATTCAATCATTTGTAATGCACAAAAGCCTTAATTTGTCCAATCTTTTTTCACTTTGAGTGTCACACATTTCTACTTCGGCGGTTTTACCTTTTTACATGAAAATTATTTTGTCTCTTTGATTCTGAGCTTGGGTGTCACATACAGCTGGGACAAATTATTATTGTTACTAATTGGGAATCATGATATCACCACGATGAACATGTGCTGATCATAAAGGAATAATATTTCTGCCCGGCAGCAAGACTCGTAATGGCCAATAAACTGTCACACATCACTCTGGAGACACAGATAGACATAAATCACAGTGGTACCTTAATGGTTTACGGACATCTGTGTGTTCATCTCTACTCTGCACGTGTTCCTTCTTCTGTATCCATGGCATTATTACTGCCCTGCTGCCTCACTGTTCTAGTGCCATAGGTGAATACAGGGAATAAGCTAAACCCCTACTGGTCATGCGGGCCATTAGATATAGCCTTATGTACTGCCTTATGTACTATAAGACGATGTCTTACCTGATATACCCCATAAAATCCCATGATGTGGAAAATAAATCTTGTTTTTGTGCCAGGGAACTTTTTCCTTGAAGGGACATTTTTGAGTGAGTCATTACATCTTATTAACGATCCACTGCCATAGAAACACATTCAGGCAGCCAGCCAAAAAGCAGGCTGTGAACATTTTCACTAATTACCTAGCTGTTTGTCAGAATAAAAATCCTATCTCCATTGGCTATTTATTAGTTAACTGCAACTCAACTGTTGTTTCTTTGTGCCCGTGAAGCTAAAGAGGTTGGGGGGAATTTATCAAGACTGGAGTAGACCAAATCTGGAGCAGTTGCCCATAGTAACCAATCAGCTTTTCTCTTCAGTCTGTTCTGTTAAGATTTGAAAATGAAGAGAGAAGCTAAATGGTTACTATGGGTAACTGTTCCAGTTTTTGTCTGCTCCAGTTTTGATAAATTCCCCTTGTGGTTAGCTGAAAGTTTTTTGTTTTTTTTTGTTTTTTTACATTCAAGTTTAAAAAAGAATGTGGACTGCTTTAAGGCTGGGTTCACACCTGGGCGGTCGTAATATGCGCATCAAACGCATGTTTTGGGCCGTGCGGTTTTCGCACGTTTTTCTGTTCACGAAACGCGCGTTTCCCGGAATGCAGAAATCCCAGAATGCATGAAAATGCCTTGTCTGAATGCAGCCTAAGTGCCTGATATACTAAAGTTAGAAGCAGCTGATAAATCTGGGCCAGGTTTGCTTCACCTCACCTTACTTCCCAATTAAGTAAATTGGACGCCTGGTATTTTTGATAATACAGCCGACCCATCACTCTTGTACACTTAAGGTGCCCATACACTGCACAATTCTCGTATGAGAATCGCGGGAAATCCCGTGATCGTACGAGAATTGTGCAGTGTGAATGAAGATGTGTGGCCGTTTCTACTGTACGGTCGCACGTCTTTTGTCTAAGGAGCATGCTAGAAAACCAGCCGAAAATCGGAAGATTTTCGGCTGGTTTGAATGATGCTCGGGAGACAAATGCCGAACAGGCCGGTGTGTGCACGTGCACACTGCCCGTTCAGGATTGCGGTCATCGGAAGCCCGCCCCTCAGGGGGGGCGGGCTTGCGATGATCGCAAGTATTATCTGCCTGTCCAAGATGGGCAGATCGTATGTTTTTTAGTACTTTACAACCATCGCAAGACTAAGGTCTTGCGATGGTTGTAAAGTGTATGGCCACCTTAACATTGCGCTGTATTCAGGGTTATACATTTTTCAGATAACATATACCTTCTGGATGTAATTCGGTAGCCTCTCTTACAGCTGTGGCAGCTCAATCCCCATTGCATATTAACAGATGTGTTATGTGTAATAGGGGAATCCATTTATCCCTGGGCAGTGTGCTTTCAACATATGACTGTATACTATCGCAGGATGAACTGAGAATTATCAGGCACTAAAGTTTTGGTGTTTGAGGGTTTTAAATTGTCTAAAGTTAAGTGATTTATACTTTGTTCGCATTAAAGATCCCAAATTATGGAATATTCCACACTTCATCTCGCCATAGTACCAGCAGTTCTCATTGGTGGCTTTGGGTAACACCTACCGCTTCTGCTTTACTAATATTCAATAATGAAGCATGTCTTTTTAAATTAGATTTTTTTTTTTTTATAAATAGAAGATGAAAATGTGTGAACAATTTATCTAACAGATCATTTAGCATAACTATTATATTTTATGTTTATGTAAATATTTTGTTTCTGTTGTATTACTTGCTTATAGCAGTAATACACTATGGGTGTTTTTTTATAAACAATTTGCTGAGCCATTTGCCCTGGGAATCTCTAAAGTTTGTTCTGTGTGAAATAGAGGCAAAAACAAAGGTCCTTTTCAGGCTGAATTTAATGTAATATCGCATTTTAGTAACTTGTGTTGCGGAACGTAGGAAATAATTATTTATTTCATATGCTCTTCAGGTCCATCTATTAGCCATAATGTGGTATTACATTCAACTTGAAAAGAAAATATATTAAGAACCTCCATTTTTGCCTCTGTTCGTACAGAATGGATGTTTACAGATTTGCAGTGCAAGTGGCTCTGTAAATAGACCCTTATGCGCATCTGTTACTTATATATTGGAGAAAAGCTAGGTCCATGTTTGCATACTTTCTGAATATAATTCAAATGTTGAACATTTTGGTAACTGCGTGGATTTTTGTTTTACAGGTGACGATTAACACAGTGAAGAGGATAACATCAGCATTCTCACTAGTTGGATGGTAAGAAATGCTCATTGTAACACAGAACTGGGACAAAATAGCAGCTGGACTAGGCAGCATTTTTTTTCTAAGGGTTTAGGATCCTAATGATACTGAAATGATTATAACCGGATGATTGATAATGCGGTACATGTTAAGTTTTGTGTGATCGGAACTACCAAGAGGAACTTACATGAATCTCTATATCCATTAAAGCCAGTGGGACAAGAATGTGTGACCCAATTGGAAGTTGATCGCTTTTCACAAGGCAGTAGAGCCGCTGCATTTTAGTGGACGGGCTAGTGTGAATAGAACCTAAAAGTTGTGATTTCCACTAACTTTCTAGCTCTGGAAAGTGCTCATGAGGACAGATGAAAGGGTGAATCTCCCTAGCCTACTGCAATAAAAAATTATTGCAGGGTCTAACCCTTCCCCACGCTATTTAAACTAAAGAAAAATATTTACATACACTTTCAACCTTTCTCTGACGAGATCTTTTTTTGTGTTTTTTGCACACATGGTATAATCCACATTTTAGGCCTGAAAATTATTTAAAACCCCCAAATATTATATATTTTTTGAAAGCAAAGACCCTGTAGAGAAAAATGGTGGCAGTTGCAAACTTTTTTCAAACCCCAACATTTTGTAAAATATGCACTTGAGTTAATTTTAGGGCCCAAAAACACAATTGAGTACCCATTTTTTGTAAAATATAAAAGATGAGGTTACAACAAGTAAATGGATACCCAACATACCCATGTTAAAAATTGTGTGCATCAATGAAATTGCAACAAAATAAGGCACCCCAAATTGTCCACAGGCAACGCTTTAAAAGCCCTTAGGGCCTGTTCACATGAGTTTCAGGTGCGGATCTGCAAACGCGGTGCTATGTGTTTTTGTATAATCTTTATTTTTCTCGTTTCACAAAAAATCACATTTACACAAGAAACATTCAAGTGGTTAAACGGGGTCCAACATAGACAGTGAAGTGAAACCCTCCCAGAAGGCCAAGAGTCGGGGGGGCAACCTGTCAAGCTAGCGCCTGGGTGCCCTCGCGACATCACTCGTCATGGTGGGTGAGATACATAATGCAGCCATGTTGCCCATTTAGAGTAGAAGCGGTCGTATTTGTTGCTGCTCCTCGCCACCCATTCCTCTGCCTCCTGGATTTGCATGACCTGTGCCACCCATTCAGATCTCCCCGGAACCCTGGCTTGCTTCCAGTATCTGGGGACGAGTCTCCGCGCCGAATCCAAAAGATGGGGCAAGACACTCCTCCTATAGGACCCAATGGTCGTGGGAGGGAGGTGGAACAGCATATGAACGGGGTCGTCTGGTACATCTAGCGTTGTAATAAGTTTAATTTGAGCGTGAATATCTTGCCAGAAGCCCCGTACAAGAGGGCACTCCCACCAGATATGTAGGAGACCACCCGGCTGCCCACATCCCCTCCAACAAAGCGAGGGTGTCCCCTGGTATATGGTACTCAACGGGACAGCAATTTGTGATTAGTTTCGTGCGTCTTGGAGTCTATAGAGGATTTGTGTGTGAAGCGGTATATCAAGCGCCATTGATCATCAGTGAGATTCCGTCCCAGCTCCCTTTCCCATTCCCCTAGGAACCTCGGACCATAAAAAAATGAGACTAGTCGATCTGGGGATGTAGGTCCCACACAGAGGGCCTCAAAGGGTGTGAGGGAAGACATGGGCCTTATACCCTTGGCAGTCGTGCCAAAGAAATGGGTAAGTTGTCTATATCTCCAGTCTGCCAAGGGGAAATCTCCATATTTGGTTTTGATCTCCTCGTGCTATGTGTTTTTGATGCGTTCCAGTAAAAAAAATTTTTTTTTTTTTTTTGCTGGAGTGGGGCTGTCGGTATGTTAGCTGCAGTGCAGTGCGTTTTTGACGCATTTTGCGTTTCGGGACCGTTTCCTGACCGTACAAAATGTGACATGCAGTATTTTTCTGTCGTAACCTGAACGGACTGCGCACGTGAGAACTGTAGCCCATAAAACACATAGGAATACATTGGGATGCATTTTTAGTGCAGGAGCGTACGGATCAAGTCAGCACAGAAAACGGACATCGTGTGAACAGGCCCTTATAGATCATCAGTTTAGAGATATCTGTGAATATTTGCCCTAAAATTGTTGCTCTTACTCTGGCGCGATTGTCGTTTTCATACATAGGCTCACCCTATGCTTCTATACATGTGCACTCGCAAGGGCCTGGAGAATTTAAAAAAAAACATTTTTTTACAATTTTTATTTTATTTTTCTTTACTGTCATGACAAACCCCCTAACACATTGGAGGTGACAGGTTCTCTTTAAGTTGACATTAGGGGTCAATTTGACCTCTAGTGTCACGTGTCAACTCCAAATAAGCTATTGAGGTGCAGATCACACTCCAATAGCTTATTGCCTAGCTTCTACAGCCAAACAATGACCGCTGAGGGGCCAAAAGTGATGCAATCGGTTGCCGATCGCCTTCTCCATACCCTGCCGTCAGTCCCAGGTCCGCAGAAGGGGCAGCGGAGCCTGGGAAACACTTTACCAACCCCTGGAAGCGATCTGTTGGCAGCTTTACACCTGTAAACAGAGTGCCAGTAGAAGCATGTATAGTTATTGCCTATGATTTTGCTTTAATACCTGATAATCTAGCCAGTTAGGTGTTGCTTCAAACTGGCCATGCTATCCACAGAGGCAGATCTGTGCTGGTGTGGTTAGTTGGCATCCCTGGAGTTCACTTATAGGAGTTACATGATGCCCAGCCAGCGCATGGTGTGCCTGTAGCCCCTCCAGTCATTTTTTGCAGCCAAATCCATCTCCCAGCCCTGCTGGATTGATTTACAGCAGCTCCTAGCTGGAGCCTCACTGTTAAAACTGCAGCTGCTTGTAATTAGTGCAGCAGTACAGTTGACAAAAATAAGTATTTCCCCCACTGTGTATACCCCTCCGCTATGAGAAAGAAGGACGCGCAAGGAGTATGCGTGGTCACATGACCGCTTATTAAAAAATAGTAATAGTAGTACTAGTTCCTAATACTATCTGAGGTGTTTTTTGTGCTTTTATAGTACTGCATTCAGAACTACTTTAGAGTATGTTCACACTAGCCCACATGCTAAAATGGGGGGGATTAGAAAAACACCGCAACTAGTGTGAAGGTAGCCTTAAATTGTGCAGTGCCTTACCAAACAAGATTGTAAGGGATTATTACAAATCAAATATTAGTATCCACAGTTATATTTCAAAAGTATGAAATGCTATGAACTCTCTAGGAGGCAAAACTGACAACTGCATAGAGTGGGGGAAGGCAACCTCGGCACTCCAGTTGTGCTGAAAATACAATTCTCATCATGCCCTTGCCTCTGGGAGCCATGCCTGTGGTTGTCAGAGTCTTGCAACACCTCATGGAACTTGTAGTTCCACAACAGCTGTCGAGGTTGCCTACCCCAGCATAGAGGGTTTGGATTGCTGTCATTTGCAGCAGGTCGTTACAATGGCCATGAGCCTGTAACTGTAAAAAAATTATATAAAGATCAGTTCAATAATTATGTATTAGTGTATAGAGCTTGTATTTCAAGAGATATTTTCCTTTTTGAAAATGTAGACTTTATGCAGTCATGCTGACATTTTACCTAGCACTACATGTTATAAAAGGTGACAAGGCATTGTAGACATATTTGAGAATCCTTTCTGACATATGTAATGCAGAAAATGCTGACATGCATGTGTGAGCCTCAATTTGTAGAACTATAGGCACACCTTCATAAGCGGTCTACCCTAATGGCAGTTTTACAATTCTTATCAGTATGTAAAATATGTGAACTGTCTGTGTGTGCATGTTATTTTATTTTAACTTACCCAGCAAGAAAAACCTGTATTTTTTTCAGTTCAATCATAGGTATGCCAGATTCTAAGTTCATAAAAATGGAAACCGGTTTAGTAACATTTGACAACCGACATTCTTGGAACTATCTTGAGTTGCCCGCTTTTTTTCCTTAAAATAGCTACATTTATTGATTTAATGTTAAAGTGACACTAAACTCAGGAGGTAAACCTTTTATAAATGCATTTAAGTACCCAAACTATTAACAAAAATTAGGGCTAAGGGAATTAAAGATTAATTCCTTGATTAATCGTTAAACTTTTTGATCGATTTAAAATTCTTTTGATCGAAAATGAAAACACTCACCTCTCCGCCAGCTTCCCGGAGTCCGTCAGAGATCCGGTGACGTCACGGACATCAACGTCACCGGATTCCTCCCCCCTTCCCCAAGTGGCTCCGTCTGCTAACTAAGGGAAGGGGGAGGAGTCCGGTGACGTCGATGTCCGTGACGTCACCGGACCCCTTCGCCCTTCCCTTCGTTAGCAGACGGAGCCACTTGGGGAAGGGGGGAGGA